ATCAATTGGAGATCTTCATTCTCCAATATTTTTGATATCCAATATTTGTAATCTGATCCCAATCCATTTCGATTCCTCGAATTATGTATTGTGAAAATTTTTGCTTTCTACAATTCTCAAGGCACAAACTCTTTGGTTTTATCGATGGTTCTACGACTCAACCTAATCATTTCTTGATCTCTAATTCCGAATCCGTTGTTTGGCAGATCGCAAAGGATCAACCCTTATAATGTTAATCAATGTTGTAGACATGGTATTTGATCCGGTTTAATTTTCCTTTCTATTATTATTCTTACTTTATTAAGTACTTTGGTTAAAAAATAACTTAGTTTTAAAAAGTATTTGATTCTTTATATTATTATTGTTATTATTATTACTATTTTACTATTTATCTATTATTCTATATCTTATTTTATTTTGGTTAGTTTTATTTTTATAAGGTAAAGTTTTAAGTTAGATTTTGTTTTGTTTTTATTAAAATTAAGAGAAAAATGTTTTTAAACCAATTAGTTTTTATTTTGTTTTTGTTTTTGTTTTTTTAAATAAAAATATTTTATTTTTATTTATTTTTTATTTATGTTTCAAAGGATTCTCTTCTCCCTCGTCAAAAGCTCCACATGTGGAGGACTTACCATGACCCCGACAACCTCTCGCGGCTTCCGGCGATACTACTCGAGCGGCAAACTTCGACAGTACAGCAACACTAGATCCAGAGACCCGCATAATTTGGTGGCCATCCCGGCGTAACAGGTCCGACGAACCGGGCGGCCTTAATGACCTCCGGCAGCAGCGCAGCAAGCCTCGACCACAGACCCCGGCACCCAGTCCGCGTGAACTGCACATCTCCAACCCACGACCTCAGATCGAGCATCATTTGACCTCCACAACACTCCGGCGACCTCCTTCCTCAATACATTTAATTGAGTTGAAAAACAAAAACATTTTAGAAAGGAACTTTTTTAAATAAGGATAAAACTGTTTTGGAAAGCATTTCTTTTTAAGTAAATGTTTTGAAAAGAAATTGTATTTAAAGTTATTAAGGAATGAATAAGAGAACGTTTTTAAAATAAGCTTTAAATAAATCATGGAAAATGAAAGAAAATCTTTTAAATCTTGTAAACCAAGTTTAAATAATTGTTTGAAAAAAAATAAAAATTTTGATTTGTTTTTAAATTTTGTTTTAAAATAAAAAAATAATCCTGAACATAGTTTCATTCTTCGTTTTTAATTTTCTTTTAAAATAAAGATTTTGTTGTTAAATTTTTTAAACAAGTTTTGAAAAAGAAATAAAGATTTGAGTTTGTTTTAAATAAAACTTCGAAAATGAAAGAAAATATTTTGATAAATAAAATTTGTTTTTGAATAAAAACTTTTTTTCCTCGACAACAAGGTGAACTTTTTTTCAAAAAAAAAAAAGAAAGATTTTATTTTATGTTTTAAAATGTTTTTTTAAAATCCAAAGTTTTGTTTTTTTATTTTTAAATAAATCCCTGTTAAAAGTGAATAAAATTTTTGTTTGATTTTCTTTGATTTAGTAAAAAAACTAAATTTAAAGGAAAAAGTTTTTTTAAAGGAAAGTTTAAGGATGAAGTTTTTTAGGAAAGTAAATAAAAGATTCAAAAGAAAATAAATTTTATTTTATGTTTTAAAATAAATGAATCTCAAATTACAAAGTAAAGGTGTTTTTAAAAGAAAAGATTTGTCAAATGAGTTTTAAAAAAATTGAATAAGAGATATGGCAAAAAAAGTTAGGAAAATAAGCAAAATAGCAACAAGGTTTGGGTTTTTCAAATATAGCATTTTTTTGGCAAAAAAACGGAGGCACACGTTATAAATTACAAATATACCCTGTAGGCCCGAACCAACAATAAATTACTTCTGATTGACTTTTGATATACTAATGATGGACAGATATACTCCTGATATATATGTGATATATGTTTGATATACATATGGTATGAAATTGATTTACTTCTGATATAACTATGATATCTACTACTATAGGTGACATAGAATTGATTGACTTCTGATATACTATTGATTTACTTATGATATAACTATGATTGACAGATATATTCCTGATATATATGTGATATATGTTTCATATATATTTGATATGAAATTGATTTACTTCTGATATAACTATGATATATACTACTATAGGTGATATAGAACTGATTGACTTTTGATATACTATTGATTTACTTATGATATAACTATGATTGACAGATATACTTCTCATATATATGTGATATATGTTTGATATATATATGATATGAAATTGATTTACTTCTGATATAACTATGATATCTACTACTATAGGTGATATAAAACTGATTGACTTCTTATATACTATTGATTTACTTCTAATATAACTATGATTAACATATATACTCTTGATATATATGTGATATATATTTGATATACATATAATATGAAATTGATTTACTTCTTATATAACTATGATATCTACCAATTATTTCGAACATATTACCTCTAATATATGTTTTATGATATACTAATATATGAAATAATTTTTTTTTCAGATAAAAGCAATGGTACAAACATGAAAAATGAAATAAAAAAACATCGTCGAAAATGTTGATGTCGTTCGTCCCAAAAGACAACATAAACAAACGCCAAAAGTGTTGTCTTTGGAAAAACGGAAAGCTTCAAAGATATTATCTCCAAAAACACGACAATCACCAAGAACTTGATGTCTCAAGCTTTTACCTAAAGATTATACAAGAATGAAACTTACACTTTTCTAGACTGTTGAAACTTATGTTTCTGGAACTTATGCTTCTTCTTTTATAGAATTTTAAGAATGATATTGTTAGTCTACTTTTGGTTTATGCTACTGGTTCGTTTTGATGTTTAAACCTTTAAGTTTTTGGTTGAAGGACTTTGCTGCTGATTTGATGTTGATGTTGATACCCAAGAATGATATTTAAACCTTTTAAGAATGACATTGTTGCTGCTTCCATTTTGATCTTTAAAACTTTAAATAAAACTTAATTGTACTATTGATATATGTACAATGTATACTTGATATATTACTGATATATTATTGATATACAGAAAAACCCCAAGTTTCTATTTACCTCTAATTTCTAATTGATTTCTCATTCACAGTAATTTCGAAAATCACCATTGACATTCACATTCACGTTCCTTTCAAGTTTTCTTTCTCATTTTCAGTAAGTATCAAATTTTTTTCTCATTTTCCATGCATGCCAATACCTATTAATTTCTAACTGATCAAAAAAATACAAGACAATGGGTTAAAGCAGGAAAAATAGTGATTTACTATTATACAACTGATATAGAACTGATTGACTTTTGATATACTATTGATTTACTTCTGATAYACTAATGTTGTCAGATATACTCCTGATATATATGCGATATATGTTTGATATATAATAACGAAGCGATAACTGAAAATGGTAATTTGGGAATACTGAAAATTTTAAAATCAGGATTTTCAAAAAAATGCTATATCTGAAAATATCAAAAAGACATGCTATTTTGTTAAATATAGAAAACTTATATGCTACCCATTACAAATCCCCTTTTTTAAATAAGTTTGATTATAAAATAAGAGATTTTTATTAAAAACGAATTTCAAAGTCCAAATAAATAAAAGGTTTTTTCCTTTTTGAATAATAGATTTCGTTCAGAGTTTTTTTTTTAAACAAAGTTTGAAAATAAATCGTTTGTATTTTAAAAAAGAAACTTAAATTGTATTATAAGGTGTTGACACAATGGCAAGAGACTTGAGTATTAATGTTCATGACCCAAGTTCATGTCCTTGCGTGCCTCAAATTGAGACCTTCCAATATTCTTGAGGTGATAAAAATTTTCTAATGGCATTCGTGCCACTCATACCTATTAATTAATTCATATCTTATAACAAAGTGTGAATTAATATAATGTGAGACATTTCAATCAAAACACAAAAATATTATTTTTTGACCAAATAAAATAATAGGATAATTTTTGACAAAATGTGGTACCGTTTTCAAACGGTTGTCGTAGGGTGCTAACACCTTCCCCGCTCAATCGACTCCCAAACCAAAAATCTATTTTTGCAGACCGTTTTTTTAAAATAGGCGACTAATCAACCTTATAGATGGTTGATGACTACTCCAAACCCTTATCTCGAAAGAGACCCTTTAGGGGATGACGTCGATCGCTCCGTGTTGCGATGTCGTTGCGACAAATGCAATGCTTTCATCCGTTGTCCTAGCTTATGTTGTTGGAAGAAATACTTCAATAGAAGTCTGGTATACCTTGGAGAAGCATTATTTCTCCAGCAGTCGTACAAATGTATTCAATCTGAAATCAGATTTACAAACTATCCAAAAAATCAGGCGAAACGATTGGTGATTACATCAAGTGCATCAAAGAAATTAAAGATAAGTCAACAAATGTTTCGAATACAACAAATAAAGAACGCTGATTTACTCTCTAAACGAACTTCCTTCAGAATTCTAACACCTTCCATACCTCAATGAGAACTTGATCTCAACCTGTTACCTTTTGATACAACCCGTCCCAAAACACCTACTAGTCCTAGAATGAGTCATGCCGACCATAGACCCCGACTAGCTACGAAGTCCATGGTCAACTTTCTTTTTAACTTTGATATGATCTTTGACCAACAAACTCCGAATGGATGCACAATAAAATAATAATCTCAACAGAACAACCATTCTTACATTCATTATATACAATCTTTTCTATCAAAAGGTGTAGATAAAAACTTTATACAAACAACCACTTGCATACATAATGTCATGCAACTCTTGAACTACTCTGGGTGGTAGAAACTTAACTACTATCTCCCTGCAACTCAGAAAGTCAAATACTCAGGTATGGGAGGAAAAACAAAACATAAACAGTGAGCTGGGAAGCTCAGTGAGTGGTAGGTTAATAAGAAAATATTCTCGTAAAACTTCTTTCATAAACAACTGAAATTCAATTCTTAAAATAAACTTCATAAAACTAAAGTAACAAACTTTCTCATTTAGATGTTTTAAAACTTGAACAACTAAAAACTCGGTAAACTTTCTCAAGATAAAACTTGTAACAACAATTTCTCTCTAGTCAAATTGAAAAGGCAACTGCTCCCAAGTCCAGGATTCGGAATCCAGATTTGGCCCTAATTGCCCCGGCATTCCCCTACGTCCCCTGCAACCTAGTTACGTCAACTTCTCAACCTGCTATAAAAACACATTCTAAAAACATATAAAACATTGTTCTTTCAAACATAAAACAGATAGATAAAATTGAACACCACACATGTATCCATATTCTATTCTGGTCTACTTGCGTAGAGTAATCTTAATACACACAGCATAATAATTTTGGTCTACTAGCATAGAGTAATCTCAATATGCATAGCAGAATAATTTTCAAAACAAGTAGAGTCAAATGGTCCCAAAAACCTTCTATTTCTGGGTATACTATAGAAACACATTCTTATAGCATACGGCTAATCACCTGGATACAATAACATGGTGGTTTGAAACTATTCTCATAAACTGTTCTAAAATTATTCTTTCTTCTTTCTAAGAACTTTCCTAACTTTCTCAAATAATTTCTGAAATATTTCTTTCTAAACACATTCCGTGAAATTCTAAAATCATTTCTGAAATCTCTTTCTAAATAACACTTCATAACTTTTCTCAAACATTTCTCTAAATCATAAAGCATTTCTCAATTCTAATCAACATTTCTAAAATAATTCTTTCTAACACATTTTCTTTAATTCTCAACAGAAATATTAAAACATATCTAATATATACTTTCTTGAAATTCTATCATAATATATTTCTAAAAACATTTCTAAAATAAACCACTCACAAATCAATAATAATATACAAAACATTTAATAAAGTAACCACTCACAAATCCTTTAAATCGGATCGTACGCCGTTCCAAATTCCGCTTGACCTGAAATATTAAGCCAATACCAAATTATTTCACTTAATTCCAACATAAACTAATTCCAAACTTTAATCACCATATTTTCAAAATAAATCAATTATCCAAATTCCTCATTCTCTCTCTTCATTTAAAACAATCACTCCTTCTCTTTCATATCACCTTACACATGTGGGTCTCACAAGTTACCAATCAATTTCTCTTCCTTTCATCTTGTCACGTGCAACACCTCTTTAATTTACCCAATTTTTGTTTACAAATTAAATTCCCTTCTACAACTCATAGGCTTAACATTTCTTTTTCACTTTTTTTTTTTTTTTTGCAACAACTCAACAAGTTCTCCAACAAATTTTCATTGGAAACCCTAGTAAGAAACTCACAGATTCTTCACTTAATCGATCATCCTATGCCATCTTTTATGTCAACCAAAAATAACAAATGTTCTCAGTTCTTACTACTCAAGAAAAATCCATAAATCTCAAAATCCACAGTTTTACATTAACAAAAATCCTAGAACCTAAGGATTCTCAAGCTTAAATCTCTATAAACTTACCCAAATTCACCTTTTCAACGCCTTGATTCAAGCTTCTGAGCTCGATTTCCCAACTCCCTCTCTTTCTCTAGTTTTCGAACTCAACCGGAGGAGCGTAGGGTTTTCTTTTTTTTTTCCCCTCTGTTTCGTTCCTTTTCTTTCATTTTCTTTCCTTTTCTATTTTCTATAATTTTCTTTCCTTTTCTTTTCTTTTCTTTCTGTTTTTTTAAACACAACCACATGTCACACACACCACCCGCACCTACACACACCTGCCCTTCACCACAATTTCCAATTTCCAATTTTCTTCTTTTTTCTTTTTGCCAAAAGACCAAAATGCCCTTAAAACCATAAACTTCAATAATTCCCAAATTTCTCTCTCTTTTTTTTTTTTTTACAAAAAGAACAAACTGTCCTTACACCTTTGAAGAATTACATGTTCTTTTAATTTATGAAGAATCGGCTATTGAGAAACAAGCGAAATGTGATGAATCCTTGACTCAGCCATCTGCTATGCTTATGTCTTCTCGAGCGTCTCATCAGCAGCACAATGTTTCCCCAAATTTCTCTTGGAAAAAATCTTCTGGCAGTATCAATGGTAAAGGCTGTTCAAATCAGAATTGTGGGGGCCATGTTTCTTCACAGAATCTAGATCATGGTCGATCGTCTAACTACTTCTCTTTTGGTTCTACAAAATTTTTCACTCAAGATGAGCCTGTTTTGTGTCACATTTGTAAGGGTCGTTGTCATACAACCCTTAACTGCTACAATCGTATGAACTATAATAATTTTCAGGACTGTAAACACCGTATTTGGTCTGGCTCTCTTTTATTAAAAAAATATTATTTATTTTATTATTTGATTAAAAATAAGATAAGGGTTTAATAGAATTTGTTTTGGTTAAAACAAGGTAACATAAGTCTTAATGTAAGGTTTTAAATAAATTAAATTTTTGTTTTTGTTTTTAAAGGTTTGGATTTTGTTATCTTATTTTAAACTTTAAATAAAAGATTTTTCTTTTTTAAATAAAATAAAGATTTTGTTTTCAAAGCAAAACATATTTTTTTTCTCTTTCGTCAACATTCCTATTATTCCTCTTCCTTTTCCTCTCTCATTCCCTTTTTAGTTTTATTTGACTTTTCTTTTTTACCGTTATGGGGAGTAAAGGACAGAGGAAAAAAAAACGAAAAGAAGTGGTAGATTTAAAGCTCATTCTCTCTCTACCCCACCTTCATCTTTCTCCTCTTCCTCCATCTCCCACCTCTTCCCCTCTTCTCATTTTAAGTCTCACCATCTCCGACGACGTACACACCACGACAACCGCAAATCCTGGTGTTCCCTCCCAACGGCGCACGACGAGTAGAGTAGACCACGGCAGATCCAGCAGCCGACTTTTGTTGACTGACCCACTCCCCCGGCACGACACACTCACGTCTCCCGGCGTTATTAAGATTCCGGTGAGTTTTTTGAATAAAAAGGAAAAAGTTTATTTTCCATAATTAAAACTGTGTTTTACCATGAAAAGAGAGAAAGTAAACAAGGCAAAGAATTTTGTTTGGAGAGAAAGCTTTTTCTTTTCTTTATTTTTAAATGAAAAACATTTTTGAATGAAAAATAAACTAATCTTTTCCCTTATTTTTTAAAATTAGAAAGTAATGTGGTTAATTAGATTTTGTTNTTGTTATATCGAGGTTTAAAGTTTTTTTTTCATTGGAAGAAAGAGAAACAAATCTTTGTCTTTGTTTTTTTTTTTTAAAGAAGGGAAATCATTTTTAATTATGTTTGGAAATTTGGTTTAAGAGTCATTTATGAGATTTTAAACATGTTTTAATAAATAAAAATAAACCTACGTTTTTTAAAGGAAAAGTTTATTTCATTTTGTTATTATTTTTTAAGTTTAAACATTTCTTAATAAATAAAAATAAACCTACATTTGAAAAAGGAAAGTTTTTTTTTTTTTAAATCAAGTGTTAAGTTTTTAGGAAAATAAATAAAAGATTCAAAGAAAAGTTTGTTTTAAATTAATAAAATCTAAAACTAAGTAAAAATAATTTTTGAAAGATTTGTTATTTAAGTTTTGAAAATTTTGAATAAAATCTTTTAAATAAGTTTATTACATACATAAGATTTTTTTAAAAAATAAAACAGTTTTAAACGAATTTCCGATCCAAAATAAAATAGAAGTTTTTTTTTTCTTTTTCCTTTCCGTTTATTTTTCTTTCTTTCTTTTTTTAAACAAAGTTTAAAAATAAAATATTTGTATTTTGAAAAGGAAATTTAAATTTCATCTTGTGGTGTTGATAGTGGAAGGATTCTTAGGGTAAATTTGCTTGTCCCAAATTTGAGTTTTTGCTTCCCCAATTAAAGTTATTTTATTATTTTTTTAATATCATTATTTTTACTAAACAACTATTTTAAATAAAATATTTTTTAAATAAATAAAAAAATTTTCATTTTTTTAAACAAATTTTAAAAATAAAACTTTTATATTTTAAAAAAGAATTTAAGTTGTATCCTAACAACCACAATAAAAGTTTGAGCCTTTATTTGTGACATGATTTCTTTTTATTTCTTTTTTTATTTATCATTATTTTTTTACTAAATAATTATTTAAAAATTCAAATGACGGATATTGGAACCTTTCAATAGCCTCGAGGTGTTAAATTTTTTCTAATGGTCTTCGTGCCACTCACACCTATCAATTCATATTTTATTACAAAGTATGAATTAATAGAATGTGAGACATTTAAAATAAAAGTACCAATTTTTTTTTGGAACAAATAAAATAATAGAATAATTTTTGACAAAATGTGGTATCGTTTTCGAACGGGTGTCGTAGGTATCGTTAAGAGAGTCTAATCGAGAGAGGAAGACCACTGGGATATTCCTTGTTCTGTATATCTTTTTTTGCAGAACTCTTCTGTAGAAAAATCAACCACATGACGTGGGGAGTTACCCCACGTCGTTAAACTGCCCGCTCCCTTACTAAAATGCATGGGAGTTAAATATTAATTTTATATATATTAATATTATTAATTAATATATATATATATATTTAATTAATTAATCATATGAATTAATAAATAATTATTAATTATTAATCGAATTAATAATTAATTAATATATATATTTATATATATATATATTTATATATATATATATTTATATATATATATATTTATATATATATATATTTATATATATATATATATAAATCAAATAAATAATTAACACGATTATTTGTTACAAAAATAGAATCATATTCTATAGCATTTCTCTCGTATAACCTATAGTCGTAATATACATCTTAGGCACATTATTTTTTAACCTATAGTTTAAATATGAATCATATTCCTATTAATTTTATTTGAATCTCATTCAAATAATTTCTCTCATAATATATAGTTTCCATTTAAATTAACTATATATTATAATGTATCAATATAGATATATTCCCTTGAGCAATTTGAACAGTTCAAATTCTTCCAAAAACTTGATCCATGTTTTACCCGTCATGAGCTAGCAAAGGGACCTAATGGACCTACATATCAGAAGTTCCAACGATACGAGATTAACCGATCAAACTCATTGACCGAGTTAATCAACATTCGTTAACTACAGGTCACTCCAGTAAAGACCTGCAGTTGCACTCTTCTCACTGCAGAATGTTTTCGTGTTCATGGATATATGACCATTAATGACAAATCAATCCTTCACGAGTGTTCGTAACTCAAGCTAAGTCAAATTACCATTTTACTCTTGAGTTACATCTTGCTCTTTAAGTACCACTGCTCCTCTAATGAACAACCCGGTTATGGTTAGACCAATAATTGGAAGTCCCTCTTGGGCCAATGAGAGGGTAGGGCCCTTTGTTCAAGTCCTAGAGTCAGCATTTAAGAGAACACTGATCTACTCCCCTAAGGTCAGGGAGAAATGAATTACATCTTGTAAAGTTATGTTCCCAGCTCCCCACTCGGTCTCGTCCCCAAAATGGTAGGAATGTTGAGTCGGCGACTCGAGCCACTCTCACCCATACAGATCAAAGGACGAGTCTCACGAGCAGGAGTCCATAACTCACTCAGAATTGAGAATGAGTTGTCTGGTCATCCAAAGAAATAGCAATCTGTTAGTTAACGGTGTTACATCTAAAGATTGGTTATTTCGTGGTCTAGTCTTATACAAACTCATTGTATAGGATACCCCCATTCGCATGTCTCCACACGAACGACCTGGATCGCGTCGTCTGTAAAATTTACAGAGTGGGTCGTATCCATAGTGTTGCCAGGATAAGGTACCCAACCTTATCCATATACTATAGACCCTTTAGGTTATTCACGGGACATTATCCACTCGTATATCAGGGGTATATCAAATATATACCTCGTATATCAGGGGTATATCAAATATATACCTAGTATATCAAATATATACCCAGTATATATACTGTCCCGGTTACATGATAATAACCTTGGATGTTTAGTTTATTGGATTTTGGACAATGCAATGCTATGAATTCAACAACAAATTTATTGAATAAAACTTTATTGAATATACATTTGTTTTTACATAAATACAAACTACGAGTTTATGGCAACACACCCAACAAAAATAAGCAAGGTTTAAAACAATAACAACTCAAAGGCTAAAAGAGAAAACGTAAATAAGCTTAAAAGGAATGTCTAAAGCTGAAATGATCACTCCGGGATGATGAATAAAGAGAATGAACTGTTGAATTTATAGGGACTTTAAGGTGGTTAGGAGGTTGAGAGCTTTGTGGAGAGCCATCCATTTCAAACACCTTTAAATTGGTTTGTTGTTGAATTGGCAATCTTCAATGCATGGAAGACACGTGGCAGAGCTTGGGGAGGCTTCAAATCACACCAAAACGTGTGTTTTACATTAAGGGCATTTTCGAGATTAGGGAAGGCATTAGGCGCCTAGCTCGATATTTTTCTGCATAAAATTGTAATTTCTATTAGAAATCAACTCTAAACGATGTAAAAACGTCCTATGTGCATGTATAACCTAAGATAACTTAAAATGAAAGGTTTTGGACACTAAACCAAGCTTAAAACACGGTTTCCGAATGTCAAATGTTAGAAAACAGCACCAATTTAGTTTTTTTTTTTACCTTTATAAACAAGGGAAATCACACCCCCAAACTTGGCTTTTTGCTTGTCTCCAAGCAAAATTAACAATTTATATCTTTTAAATCACATGCAACAACCATAAGCAACATCGAACATAAGGATAGACTAGACTTGTTTTTCATATGGTGTCTCAGGAAAGATCATCAAAACCTTATCGTCTTCCTATCTTCAAAAGTCAAATTACCAATAAGCCAACAAAGTTCAAAACAATAAAAAGTTTCTTAAAATCCTTTCCTTTTTCATAACATGAAAACTTTTTGACAACGCTCTAGAATTTGCACAATTCATTTTTCACTTAAATTTTAACATTGAAGGAATGGCTACTAGCCTATGCGGAGATTTCCTCCACAACTTTGTAAAGGCCTTTCAAGTAACAACCGGTCATAACATATCTACGGTGAGTTGCACAATGTTACACTAGACCCAATTGCTACCTTCGAAGCTGCTTACGCCACTCGACCTAAGCTACACCGAGTGTCTATAGTGATAAAAATAAAGACATTTTCTTGCCACTCTTTTTTCTTACCTCTCTTTTTTTTCTCTCACAATTTAAATCTTTTCCCCACTCTTTTTTTTTTCATACAAAGAACGAAGACTCTTTTATTTGCAAACTTGTTGTTTTTTTTTTCTTTTTCGACTCTTTTTCCGACTTTTTTCTTTTCTTGCAAAGACTCTTATTATATGCATTTTCTTTCTAGTGACTCTTTCTTGCAAAAATAATAACATGTTCTTTCATGAATAAAAAATAACATATGCAAAAATCAAAATGAAAGAGGACAAGGACTTCATAAAACATTGAAAAAGTTTAAGTTTCAACAAGAAAAAAAAACAAGCAAAGAAAACATGTTATTGAAAAGAACTTGGTCAGAAATGGCTCATGCTTTTTCGGACAAAAAGAAAAAAAGGTCTATCTAATCCTTACAAATCATCATCGACATGAAAAATAAGAAAAGACACTCCAAAATGCTAAATGAGATTAAATTTACAGCATGCTTTGTTTAAGAAATATACTTCACTAAGGCCAAGAACGAGAGCAATGATCGAAACAGGAAGAAACTAGATGATCATATTTTCACATTTAAACTCAGAAACAACCAGAAAAGCTCACAATATTATCCTATCAAAACCTAAACATGCAACTAAATTCCAAAAATAATATAACAAGCATAAGAAAAAGAATGAAACTTCCCTCAAATGAAGAATCAGCCTCATGGATCAAACAGCCAAGCCCCAATGCTAAAGACATCCTTTAACTGTTAATGCATCTTTCTTGTAACCTGTGTTACTGCTTCTAACTTTTGTTCCGTGGCCTCCAACTTCACTTCTGTTACCTCCAATTTGTGTTCCAACCGACGAACAGTGTCCCTCAGGGCTCGAATCTTAGAATTCGGTGAGCCGCCTCTAACTGCCTCTCCAACAAAATTATTCTCGAATTGCTGTTGAAAAATGGTCGGAAAAGGGTCCAAACGCTGCTGAAACGTGCCCAAAATAGGTGGGTTTTGAGCCCGGACCAATGATCCATCATATTAGTTGCTTTTCGGGGCTTGTGGCAACGTCGGGTTAGCGATAAATGGCCGGAAACTCCCAATCACTGATATTGGGTGAAAAAATCTGTGTATTAGGAGTTTGAAAATTCAAAATTTGGGAGCTTGGGAGATGAGAACTTATGGGTATTACGGTAGAGGACGGGGGAAGGTAATGCTTTGAGAAGATGAAGCCATGGATGATGAAGAAAACCAAATGAAAATAAAATTGGAGACTTTTTTTCTTCTTTTATAGCTGTAAAATGCAAAGAGGGATGAAAATTGGGGCTGATTTTTTTGTCAATAAGGGGGAAGAAAGAGATGAAGTGTCCTTTGCTCCTTTTTTTTAAAAAAAAAAACAAATAGGGTTAAATGTTAATTAAATCAAAAACCCAATTGGAAAAGGAAACCCACAAGGATTCAAAAACTCAAAAGCCCACTTTTTTATCTTAAAGCATTCTAAATGAAAAACATGTGTGTTTATTATTTTTTATATTATTTTTTTAACTCCCAATTCGATTAAAAACGAAATATTATCGCACCCCCCTTAATTTTAAGGCAAAACTAACTCCCAAAATTAAAATCACAATTTTTTGAATTTTTGGATCGGGCCGAGGCGCCAAGCGTCTCCCATAAAAAAAATTCGAATTTTTCAAAATCCGCCCGGACAACTTGTTAAAAACTTAATCTTAGCCAAAGTAACCTATCTACAATTGAAAATAGTTCTATTTTTTTAATTTTAAACAAAAGAAAACTAACCTAACTAACATAAACTGACTTTTCATAAGAAGAAAACTAATACCTAACAATCTACCTAACAAAGCAATTACGAAGTACACTCAAACAATAGAAAAGTAGAGATAAGGATAAGAAAACTCTCTTATGGTGCAGGCTCAAATTACAGCTGCAAGGTAGTATTTGGTCTTGGTATTCTCTTGACAATCTCATATGCTTTAAGACCGCTACTCAAATGATTTCTTCCCACTTAACCATGGGAAAATGCTTGGTTCTTAGTAGTCTTAAACTCTCTTGGTGGATCCAATTGATTTATCACCTATAGTGGATTTCTAGTTGAACATTCAATCTGAGAATCCACCAAGGTGTCAGATGGCTCTCCTCGCACTTGTGCCTATCTTTATGGTTTTCTTGAAAAATTCATCATACACTATGAAAATACACATATTAAAAAGTAAAATAAAAGACTGGAATTTAAATAAGCAGTAAGCTAAAACTTCTCTCCTATAGATTTAACTTTGAAGAACTTTTGGAGGCTTCAGACTTTCAACTCATTTCCTCGAGCTCATTCAATCTACCTTAAGCTACAACCATGTCATAGTTTCTCCTCTTTAAAGCCCAATATGCTTCATGGTTCAGGTCGAGCGGTAGGTTTGATACTTTTCTACAATTACTTTTGGAAATTGAGACTTCGGTTTCAACATAAAATCCTTCATTTACATATGTCTCATCCTCTTTTGTTTGTTTATTTTCTTCATCCATGAGGTGTATGGTGAATTCCCAATTTTGTATGTCTTGAGAAATCTTTTGAGGGAAAGGTGAAAGTGATCACATAGCTACAAGTGGTGTGTTTGAGCCTACTACAATCTCATCATTTGAACTTATCTAATTCTCTTTGTTTTCTAATCTCCTTTCTTTATCCTGAAGATGAATGTTCAACTCCCCCTTATGTATGTCCTGCTTATTCTTCAAAACTTGTTGAGGGAATGGAGAGAGTGGTTCCAAATTTACGAACGTTAGGTTTGGGCCTATTGCTACCTCATATTCATCTTTTTGTTCAATTACCTCAACTGGCTGCTCTGGTTCAACTTCTTTCTCCTTTTCTACCTCGTTAGTAATATCAGATATTTTGGATCATCATTTTCCACTTGGAGCTCAGGTTCTTCATAAAGTAGCTTGCTCCCTAGGTTCGCTACCTCACTTTGCTCCTCTTCTCGCATTGGGGATTCCACATTAGTCGGCAATGCTCCTTATGTAATGTTCCTCCACTCATCGGCCAACTGCCTCATTTGGATATGTAGGTTGCATATTGCTGCATCATTTCTTGCCATAAATTTCGTCATCATCTCTTCAAGGTTGCAACTTTGCGACGTTTGCACTTGTACTGGCATCCATTGTTGATCGTAGTCTTGCTAAGGCTGTTTCGGGAACTCTTGTGGGAATGTTTGCTCATATTTCTGGGTAGGATGAGAATAATTTTCATCATATTTGTCTTCCCCACGAGAAATTTGAATGATCACCCCAACCTTGGTTGAAGGTGTTCAGATAAGGGCTTGAATTCCAATGATTTTGTTTTTGACCTACAAAATAATTAGAATTATGATTAGATGGACAATAATCAAATGGATGGTTATCACCACAATATCTACAAGGAATTGATTCATTAACTATGGAGAAGTTACTTCTCATTGCTTGATTATGCTGCATTTGAAACATCGATGGAACTGGAACATTCCAAGGTGAAAAGGAATCCATCTCAAGCACTTTTTGTTGGATGAAAGAATAAAAGTATCTCTCTACTTTTTTTCTCTTTTTTTTTTTCAGTTTCTAAGTTTCTGTTCTCTTCTCAACTGACGAAAGGTTCTTTTAGTTTCAAGATCGAAGGGCAACAGAAATGAATCAGTGCTCATGAACTAAACAACATCCTTCGCGGTTTTGATGTAAAATTGAAAACTTTTTAAGAACAGAAACAACAATCACAAAAACCGATTAGAAAAATTAATAAAAGACTAAATCAACTTGGTCCCCAGCAACGGCGCCAAAAACTTGTTTGGGATTTTGAATTCAAAATAAATGAGAGCACAAGTGTACACCCATCACAAGTAGTAAAACGGAACGAGTATTCCGAGTATCGATCCTCAGGGACAAATGAGTATTTTTATAGGAAGTGTTAATGATTGGTGATTTTGTAATTGAATTTGGAGTAACAAATAATAAGGATAATGTCGGTTTTAATATTTAAAAACTCAATGCAATAAACCCAGCCCAGTTACTACAAATTAGCTAAAAATACGCAAACTTTTTCCAGCTAGGCGTCTGGCGCCTCTCATAAATTTTCTTCTGTTTTACTTTGCTATCTTCCTATGTCTAAGTGATTTTGAAGATTTAAGTCCATTCCTAATATGTCTATTAGAAATAAAGAACTTAATTTAGTAAAAACCAACCGTAACCTTAGGTCGAGGTCCTATGTCTAGGCTACCCGAGCGAAATCTTTATGTTTAAAGTATTTTCCTCTCAAGTTAAATCAGTAAAGTTGTGAAAATGTAGCAACCCTTTCAGTATTGATGCTTGGTTAAAACATTCATTGGTCAAATCAAGTTTTAACTTATGGAAACAACTTTAAGTGATAAAAGAGAAGAAAAACGTCTTTTGCCTTGTTGGATTTTAAAACTTTAACTAACTATCCATAACCGGGTCTGGGAAAAATAAATTTAGCTCATCATGATAAAGGAAAAACAGAATTTAATGTTGATGGAAGTAGGCGACATGACTAAAAGATTAAAACAAGCTAAAAATGGTGGAGTTGTAACCCGAATGACCCTAACCCGTTCTCTTTCAAGATTGGGGAGTAGTACTCGGTCGATTCCTCAAGGTTGAGTGATTACAACTTCATAATGAGGAAAAGAGAGAGATGAGTAACAAAGAACTTGCTGGAATTTTAATTAAACAAGATTAAAGCTTACAATTCAAGACTAATAAGCTGGAAATAAAGAGTGAACTAGAAATAAACAAGGTTTAAAATAATAACAACTCAAAGACTAAAAGGAAAAACGTAAATAAGCTGAGAAGGAATGTCTAAAGCTGAAATGATCACTCCGGGATGATGAATGAAGAGAATGAGCTGCTGATTTATAGGGACTTTAAGGTGGTTAGGAGGTTGAGAGCTTTATGGAGAGCCATCCATTTCAAACACCTTTAAATTGGTTTGTTGTTGAATTGACAATATTCATGCATGGAAGACACGTGGCAGAGCTTGGGGAGGCTTCAAATCACACCAAAACGTGTGTTTTACATTAAGGGCATTCTTGGTATTAGGGAAGGCGCTAGGCACCTAGCTTGATATTTTTCTGCATAAAATTGTAATTTCAGTTAGAAATCAACTCTAAATGATGTAAAAACGTCCTATGTGCATGTATAACCGAAGATAACTTAAAATGAAAGGTTTTGGACACTAAACCAAGCTTAAAACACGGTTTCCAAATGTAAAATGTTAGAAAACAGCACCAATTTAGCTTCTTTTTACCTTTATAAACAAGGGAAATCATGATGGAAGTATAGCTCGTCACAAAGCCAGATTGGTTACTAAGAGATACCATCAAGAGGAAGAAATTGATTATGATGAAACATTTAGTCTGGTAGTCAAGAATCCTACAGTTCGAGTTATTCTCTCTCTAGCGGCTCAATTTGGTTGGTCTCTACAGCAACTCGATGTGAAGAACGTCTTTCTTCATGGTGAACTTATTGAGGATGTGTATATGCAACAACCACAAGGTTTTGTTGACTCCAAAAATCCTAATCATATCTGTAAGCTAGTCAAATCTCTTTATGGTCTCAAACAAGCCCCTCAAGCTTGGTTTGAGTGTTTTACATCGTATCTTTTAACTCTTGGCTTTGTTGCTAAGTCTTCACTCTTCATTTGTTGAACGTCTGATTCCATTACTTATCTACAGCTTTATGTGGATGATATTATTATCACCAAGACCTCTTCCTTCTATATTGATAAGCTTATGGTTCAACTGTGTTCTTCCTTTGATATGACTGATCTAAGAAGTCTAAAATATCTTATTGGTCTTGAAATTTCTCATACTACCCAAGGTATCACTGTGAGTTAGACAAAGTATGCTAAGGATATTCTTCATCGTTTTGGTATGTCTTTGGCTAAGCCACGTGTGTGACTCCTATTGTCTGGATAGTTCCTACCGATATTGTTGCATCCTGTTCCAATGAAGATGCATCTCATTTTCGCTCCATCATTCGTGTTCTTCATTATTTGACCTTTACACACCCCGATATTACCTTTGTAGTAAGCAAATTATCTCAATATATGCATTCTCTTACTTACACTCATTTCACTGTAGCAAAACGAGTTCTCTGATAAATCAGTGGAATCGTTTCTTCTGGCTTATTATTCAAGAAAGGATCTTACAATGTTTTATGCTTAAATGCCTTTTTTTTTCTAATTGGGTTGGAGATACAACTGATTATTGCTCCACTTCTGGTTTTGTAATATTTTTTTGGTCCTAATCGTATCTCATGAGTCATGGGGTGCTAAGAAACAATTTACTAACGGATGATGAATATAGGTCACTAGCTGTTATTGCTGCTGAATTGTTTTGGTCACGTTAGTTGCTTCAAGATCTTCATGTTTTTGGCATAAAACCTCATACTCTTTGGTGTGATAACTTGTCGGCTATTCATCTTGCTAAGAATCATGTCTTTCATGATCATACAAAGCATATTGAAATTGACTTTCATTTTATCCAAGAGCGTGTTGCACGGCAAGATATTTCACTAAGTTTTGTTCCTAAAACATCTCAACTTCCAAACCTTTTTACAAAGCCCCTCACTATTCAGCATTTATTATTTCTTCGGTTCAAACTCATGCCTTATAGGCTTTTGTTTGAGGGGAATATGATATGTATATTATAGTTTTAAGAGATGTTATATCAAGGAGGAATGAATTGACAGTTCCCAAAGGTAGTAATTGACTACATGAATAATTTGGATTTTCTCATAATGTAAAGATTAATATATTAAATTCTAATTTATATAATCCGTTGAACTTGTAGGATTTTATTACTTATTTGATGGTGGGTATACAAATGAGTAGGGATTTTTAACACCATATAAACGACAAGTTATCATTTAAATGAATGACGACAAGGTCATACACCAACATCACCAGAGGAATTTTTCAACATGAAGCATTCTTCTACAAGGAATATAATTCAAAAGGACTTTGGCCTTTTTAAAGAAAGATGAGCTATTCTCAGATAAAAGTGAGATAAAAGTCATATTACCCTGTAAAAATTCAATTTAGGAAAATTACTACCTGTTGTTTTCTCCGCAACTTAATTAGACAGGAAATGTCCATTGATCCAATAGAAGATGAGTTGGTTCATAATATTTTCGATGAAACTGAATTAGACCCTATGACTTACGTGGAGACATCGAATGACTGGAATGCTTAGCGACATAACTTAGCACGAGAGATGTATGATAAATGGCAGTTTAGGATGAGCTAGTAAATATTTATATTTTTAGATTTATTTCCTTCAATTCATTATTAACTGAGATATCTTTCTTAATTATATTATTATTGTTAATTATTATTTTTTTATAACTAAGCTTATTAAAATTTTTGTTATTCTAATTTGTTTCTTTATTTAATTTTGTTTTATATAGATTTTAACATGTCATTGTATTATATTTTATGTATGGTAACCAATACAGTATTTCAATGTTAGTATTTTATTTAAATATTAATTACGAATTCACAATTTAAGATAATGATAATTCTAAATGGAATTCCAACCAAAAAAACATGTTTGGATTAAAGAAAAGGATGAGAAGTTGGTTGAGTGTCTATTGGGTTGGCGAATTCAAGCCAACGACTTTGTGTTAATGGAACATTTAGATCGGGTTATCTACAACAAGTAGATAAAATGATGAAGTTAAAGTTGTCTAGATGCAAGATGAAAGCTCAACCTAATGTAGAATCAAGAGTGAAACATTGAAGAAGCAATATAATGCAATTGCATAAATGTTAGGGCCAAAATGTAGTGGTTTTGCATGGAATGAAGAGAGAAGTGTATTAATTGTTTGAAACATGTCTTTGATGATTGGGTCAATGTATGTAATTAAATATGATATTTATATTTTATTCGATTCCATATAATATTATTTAATCATTTATATTACACTAGTATGCTACCACGTGCGGTGCACGAAATGTTTTTAATTTAATTTAATTTGATAGGAAAATCAATAAATCAAATGACAAATAATAATACCATTAATTGTTAAAAAAAAATAATAATAAACAAGGAAGAAAATTAAGATGTTTCTGTATGCAAACTTTCTCAAAATATGTTTATTTATTTGAAAGCAAAATATGTTTTAAAGCAAACACACAACTTCAAAATTGAATCGTAACATCTGAAACATAACATATAAAATATGAATTGACTAATTATCTCATGCTCCCTTAATATGTCAAATTGTTGGTGAAAGAACCATAGAATGACTCATTTTTATAATAGTATAGAACCAAAGAGTTATAAACTTTTAAAATTCCAACTCATTTATAATTCTACAATGAATCCCGCTTGTTGTACTAAAAATATATATATAATTAATTATAAGTAAAAGTAAAATCTTAAATATATGCTAATAATGTAAAATATATACTAAAATTAAAAATATTTAGAGATTCGAAAAATCTCGTTATTCTTAAATTAAATATAATATAATTAAAGGTAAAAATAATTCAACTAATTTAGGTGAGTAAACTTTTTACGCTTTAACTTTTCAAATCATTTTATAATCTAAATTAAATATATATGTTTATTAAAAGAATTAAAATAATTAAATATGTAAGTTATTAATTAAAAATAATTATTGATTGTAAGTCAGATGTTTTCGTAATAATAATAAAAAGTTAAAAATATAAATATGATTGTAGACATGTTTTTCCCGTGTTATGTAAATTTAAAATTTTACCAAAATCTTTT